CAATATCAGTCAATGAAATTGAAGATGTAATTAAAAACCTACCAAAAAAGAAAAGCCCAAGACCACATGTGGTGGCACACACCTGTAATCCCAGTGCTTGGGAGGCTGAGGCAGGAGGATCGCTGTGATTCGAGGCCAGCCTGTGCTACAGAATGTATTCAAGTCCAGCCTAAATTACACAGTGAAACCCTGTCTAAAAAGACAAAACAAAACAAACAAAAAACAAAGAAAAGCCCAAGCCCTGACAAATTCACTGCTGAATTCTACAAGAAATTTAGAGAAGACCTAATGATGCTACTTCTCACTCTTTAATGAAATTGAAAGGGAAACAATTCTCCCAAATTCATTCCTAGAAGCAAGCATTACCCTGATACCAAAGCCAGAGAAGGATCCAACTGTAAAAGAGAACTACAGACCAATCTTCCTAATTAACATAGATGCAGAAATCATTAACAAGATACTGGCAAACAGAATGCAGCAAATCATCAAGAAGATTATATACCATGACCAAGTAGGATTCATCCCAGGAATGCAGGAATGTTTCAACATATGCAAATCAATAAGCGAAATACACCATATTAACAGAGCCAAGGACAAAAACCATATGATCATCTCAATAGATGCAGAAAAAGCTTTTCACAAAATCCAAAGCCCATTCATGATAAAAATCCTACAGAAAATTAGAATAGATGGTCTTTATCACAATCTGATAAAAGCCATCTATGACAAACCCACAGCCAACGTCATTCTAAGTGGTCAAAAACTGAAAACCTTCACTCTAAAATCAGAAACAAGACAAGGATATTCACTATCACCACTCTTATTCAATAAAGTTCTGGAAACATTAGTCAAAGCAACCAGACAAGAAAAATAAAAAGAATAAGGATAGGAAAGGAAGAAGTTAAATTGTCATTATTTGCGGATGATATGATTCCCTACATAGAAGACGACAAAAATTCCACCAAAAGACTTTAGATTTAAAACCAAATTCAGTAGCATAGCTGGATACAAAATCAACACTCAGAAATCAATACCATTCCTGTATACAAATAACAAATTCACTGAGAGGGAAATAACACCTTTCACAATAACATCCAGAAAATGAAGTACATAGGAATCAGTCTAAGAGGGAAGTAAAAGACCTTTACATTGAAAACTATAACACCTTAAAAAAGGAGCTCAAAGAGAATATCAGGAAATAGATATCCTTTGTTCTTGGGTAAGAAGAACCAATATAATGAAAATAATGAAGAACCAATATAATGAAAACCAATATAATTCAAATGAAATTTTGAAAACCAAAATAATGAAAACAGAATTAGAGAAAACATTTCTACAATTCATTTCAAACCAGATGAGACCTAGAATAGCAAAAACAATTCTGGGAAACCAAGGCAGAGCTGGGGGCATCACAATCCCTGACTTGAAATTATACTAGAAAGTTACTGTGGTAAAAACAGCATGGTACTGGCAAAAAAAAAACAGATGTGAGGATCAATGGAACAGATCAGAAGATCTAGAAACAATTCCAAACACATTCAGCCACCTTATCTTTTGACAAAGGAGTTCACTGGAAGAAAGATAGCCTCTTTAATAAGTGGTGCTGGAAAAACTGGCTTTCTACATGCCAAAGATTAAAACTAGACCCACATCTTTCACCATGCACTAAACTAAAATCGAGATGGATCCAAGATCTAAATACTATTTTTTTTTTTGTCTTTTTGAGACAGGGTCTCACTATGCAATTTAGTTCAGCCTCAAACTCACTTTGCAGCCCAGGCTGGCTCAAACTCACAGCAATCCTCCTGCCTCAGCCTCCCGAGTGCTGGGATTATAGGCATGCACCACCACGCCTGGTGAAGATCTAAATATTAAAACATAAACCTAAATCTGCTTGAAAATAGAATAGGTAGAACTCTTGAAGACACTGGTGTAGGCAAAGGCTTTATGAACACAAGCCTGACTGCCCAGGAACTATTTCAAAAATCAGCAGCTTGGGTCTCATCTCATTAAAAAGATTTTGCACAGCAAAAGAAACCACTAACAGAGCAAAAAGGCAACCCACAGTCTGGGAAAAAATTTTTGCCAGCTGTATCTCAGACAAAGGACTAACATCTAGAATATATAAGGAATTCAAAAATATCAGATCCCTCAAATTTAAAGACTCCATCCAAAAATGGGCATCTGAAATGAACAGACATTTCCCATATGAAAAAATAGAAATGGCAAGTAAATGTATGAAAAAATGTTCAACATCACTGGCCATTTGAGAGATGTAAATTAAAATAATGCTGAGATTTAATTTCACTCCAGAAAGAATGGGTAGTATCTAGAACTCAACCACTGGGCATGGTGGTACATGTCTCCAGTCCGAGCACTGGAGGAGGCTGAAGCAGGAGGATTATTGTGAGTTTGAGGCCAGCCTGGGGTAAAAGTGAATTCAAGGCCAGCCTGAATGCACAGTGATATCCTGCCTCAAAAAAGACAAAAAGAAAAAAAAAAAGGGATCAACCAATAACAGATGCAGATGAGGCTATTGGGAAAAAGAAACCCCTCTCCGCTGTTGGTGGGAGTTTAGCCTGGTACAACGACTGTGGAAATTAGTATGGAAATTCCTCAAAACACTAAAACTAGAGGTTCCATTCAACCCAGCTATTCCCCTTCTAGGTATCTTCCCAAAAGAAGTAATCGTATCAGACCACCACCATATACACATACACCCATGTTTATATGGGCACAGTTTGTAATGGCTAAATTTTGGAAACAGCCTAAATGCCCATCAACTGATGAAAGGATAAAGAAGATTTTTTTTTTATACAATGGAGTACTGCTCTGCCATAAAGATAAGTTGAGACAGTTCTAGCTAAATGGATGTACCTGGAGACCATACCCTTAAGTGAAATAAATCAGAAACACATATTTAAATACCACACTGTTTCTCTGGTATGCGAAACTGAAAGTGTAAATACAGCCTAAAATATGTAATAGAGACTGGGAAATGGGGGGAAAGTGTTCCCCCGCAGCGTTGTGCGTTCAGAGGTGAGGCTTTCAGCAGGTGACTGGATCATCAGGGTGACACAGTCATCATTGGATTTTTTTTTTTTTTTTTCCCGGTACCAGGAATCAAACTCACGACCTCGCACTTGCCAGGCAGGCGCTGTGCCGCTGAGCTAAATCCCCAGCCCCTAATCATTGGTTGGATCCTTGCATAAGTTCTAGCTGAAGGTGCTGATAGGGGTAGGGCCCCGTTGGAGGAGGTTGTCACTGGGGGCAGCCTTTGGAGGGCAGATCTCTTGCTCTGCCTCTTTCCCCTTTTTCTGATTCCTGGCTGTCATGAGTAGAACGTCTTCTTCTTTTTTTTTTTCCTAGCCCCTCTGCCTCGAAATTTCTGCCTTGGAGCTGCTGACTGTGGACTGCCCCTCCTGAAACTGTGAACCATAACCCTCTTCTTTATTTTGTGGGTATCAGATATGTTGTCCCAGCGCCAGGAAAACTGATTAATTACAGGCGTGACTGACGTGTAGGTAACGTTGTAATCAAGAGGGTAAAATGATTAGTTTTTTTTTCTTTTCTTTTCTTTTTAGAAATAAGCTGTTTCTCTGAGTTCTTCTTACTCAGAACAGTGACTACCGTCCTCTTCTCAGCTTGGATGGACAAACTAGTGCCTCTGTCAGAAAAGCAGTGCATCAGTCTGGAAGAAATACGCAAGTGCTGGGCCCAGGAGATCGAGGTCCAGAATTTTTTCAACATGAGAGGGAGGGAGCCGAGGATGACCGGGGGATAATGAGCACAGAAATTTCCCTGTCTGTTTCTCATTGCATCCCGCTCCTCTCTCCATAGCAATAAAAGCCCTTATACACCCGAACAAGATGAGGCAGATTTGAGGCAAACGCCTCCTGCTCCCTTCAGAGCTGACTTGAATAACCCTTTTCTCCTCCCTCCGAACCAACCGCAGTCTCTTTTGGAGTGACTGGCAGTATAGACCCTAACGGCCTGCGATAACACTTCAAGGAACGAGCCCGGAAGAAATGACTGGGGAGTGAGTTTGGTACATCAGAAGACCCCTGGAGCCCATGGAGCCCTGGAAGCCACACGGGGGAAGAGAGGAGAGACGTGGAGGGTGACAGGAAATCTCTCATGGCCTCCTCCACAAGGATTATTTTAACTGTTTCTGTTGATGGCTATCTTTCCAGCCGAGTGTAGGCGTTCAGTAAACACTTGCTGAGTTAGAGCGTGTACGAGTGAATCCACACCTGTCACCGGGACAGAAGCAGCAACTCTGGACCTAAAAAGCAGAGGCCGAGCAGGAGGCTCATGGCCCTTGGCTTCTTATGGGCATGCACGCAGGTGGGAGCCCTTCCGGTCAACGCTGGCGCGGACGAACGATCCTCAGATGAATCCTGCGGTGCGGAGCCTGGGGACCCCGGGGCAGGTACTAGGCCACCCACTGGTGCACGGAGAGGACTCTCCAGCCACCCTGGATCCATGGAACTCGAGGTCCGTCGTCTACGCTCCATTCCTCTATCCAGCGCTCGCAGCCACCGTCTGCGCTCCATGGTCCGCTCTCCGACCTTCTCTTCCACGCATCACAGATGCTCCTTGCCCGGTCCATCGCTCTACTAGGGTCACCAACTTTGCACTTAACTGGAGACTGTCTTGGGGTTGGCCCCGAAGCCCGAGCACCCTAAGAAGCGCCTCGGGGCTGGACCAGCAGAACGACTGGTCCGCCCACCCGTGTTCCCGGCATCCTGCAGCCGACCTCCTGCCCCACAGTCCACCCGTCACGCCAACCACGCACCTCCGACGCCCCGGAACCCCGAACCCCGAACCCCGAGGACAGGACTCCGCCCCCTCTGCGGCCCCGCCCAGTCACTGCCCATTCCGGAAGTCCCCGCACCGAATCGCGGTGCCCTAGCAACAGCGCGTGTCGGGGCGCCCAGTCCGCGTGCGCGGCGTCCGCGGCGAGCCAATGGTGAGGGGCCCCGGGAGCGAGGCGCAGGGGGCGGGGCTCGCCGCGGACGCCGCCATCTTGGTGGGAGAGAAACAATAGGACGAGCGCGGCGGCAGCGGGCGGTGGCTGCAGGTAACGCCCGCCCGGCCGTGCCCGCGGTCCCCGTCCGCGCCCTCGGGGAGGTGAGCGCGGGCAGCG